GCAATGGCGTGGAGCCCCGGGCAGACAGGCAGCTTTGACCAGTGCCGTGGTGCTGGCCGGCACTGGGACACAGGCACTGGTTTGGGGCGGGTGCACCCACCCGTGTCCTGGGGAGGGGGACAGGGTGCAAGTCCCCTTCCCTGTGCAGCCGGTGTACCCCTGCTTTGCTCAGGCCCCGCTCCCTCCCCGGGCCCCACACGCCCCACAGCTCTGCTACCCATGGTGGGAGAAATCAGCTGCAATAAACCCTGGAGCCAGAGTTCTGCCTTGTGTCTGCCTGCCGCCGCGACACCGCGCGTAAGTGGGGGGGGATCACTCTATCCAGCCTCTGGGGTGGTGGAACTGGGGGGAAGTAGCTGTATTATGCAGGTCCTCTCCTGGGCAAGGAGACTCACCTGCCCAAGGCATGACAGATCTCCCCGGGACGTGCAGAGCTCACCTCCCGCAGGGCTGGCGTGTCGGCTGCTGAGTTCAAGGTGATCTGTGTTCCATGGTGAAAGGCCTGACACTGATTCTCCCCGCTGCTGACTGTTGCTGGCAGCAGCCTGTAGCTTTCCTCCCTTTGCTACGGTTGTTGTCCACAGCTGAGTTGAGGTGTTGTACCTAATTCTGTCTCTGGTTTGGTTCTCAGGTCCCTGGATGCAATAGTGCTTCCAGTGGCTTGTTCCAACCACTGTGCACTGAAGTGTGCCTGTAAGACCACGATTAGCCAACAGGGCCAGCAAAGCCTGGTATCTTGCAAAACCCTCGCTCATAGTTTGCTCCTGTCCAGGGCTGGGTGGTTGGTCTATGCTGGGAAAGGGAAGAAACCACCGTGCTTTGGAGTGTGGAGAGGGTGGTGTGCTCCTTGAGGTCGGGACAGATGTGGGTAAGCCAGTCCCATCGTACTCTGCTGCAGGAGGGGAATATGGGTCGTTTGTGATGGAACGAAGTTTGAACTTCGGGCTTGAAAGAAACCATGGTCCCTCTCCTGTGTCTTTGGAAAAAAAGCTGAGCTTGATGAAGGCTTGTGGCTGTGAATCCTGAACAGCTTGGGACTCTCAGGCCAAGAAATGTGATGGAGGTCCCAGGGCACCCTGCAGAGCCATGGCAGTGCCGCGTTTGGTTGGGTGCCCTGGACGCATCCGCAGGCCCGCAGCCCTGATGCGCGAGGAGGTAGATGCATGAGGAACTGCTGGTTGAGAAAGGCTTCCCAGTCTGAGATGACTGGAGAGTAGCATTTCTGGACTGAGAGATATGTCTGCTGGTTTAAAAGTCATTTACACTCCAGCCTGGATGTACAACCTAACTGGAGTGGGGAGGCTCAACAGAAAAAGGCTTGGGGTTGCTGGTAAACAGCAGTCTGCCCAGGAGTCAGCAATGCACCCTTGCAGTGTTGAAGGTGAACTGCATCCTGGGCTGTATTAGCAAGAGTGCAGCCAGCAAGACATCACTCAGCACTGAGAGACCACAACACAGGTACCACGTCCACTGCAGAACTGTCCAGTGCACAGAGATGTCACCACACTGGAGCAAGCCCACGTGGACCGAAGCTGATCCAGGCCTCTTGAAAATCTGTGTTCCCTGCCATGACAGGCTCCCTCAGCTCTTAAACCCACCCCAGCATCACAACCATGCTGTGTGGGCTTGCAGTGCTGTTGACTCTTCCCTGCCCACTCTTCCAGTTTCCTCACAAGGCCTGGGCCAGTATGCACAAGGTTAGCAAGGCAGGACAATGCTGGCCTGGCCTGCTGTCTCGGGTTAGCTCCAGGTCATGGCTGGTAGCGCTGCACTGAGCTGATGCTTCCCGTTTACCCCCAGTGCTTGCTCTTGGCCAAGTGGTAGTGCATTCCGTTTTGGAAAGACCCCCACCTTGAAACCCAACTCTCTTCTTTAACTGAAAGTTTTGAAGTTTTGTCTTTAATTCCTTGGTTAAATATTATGAAAAATTTTCCACTGAAAGTCCTTTCCTACTGCACCAGAAGCCTCCGGTCTGCTCCTCACAAGAAACTGCCAACAGTTGAGAGAATTTCCCAAACAAATGAAAGGACATCTGCGCATGTCTGTGCAGGTTCTGGAAGCAATTTTATTCTGCAGGACGGATACAGGCTATAGCAGGGATATGGTGCATACATGGCCTGTCTGGGCTCAGAGTAGCTTAGATCAGGCTAGCTAGTGATGATTGACCTTTTTTTGCTAAGCAAAAAGAGAATAAGACCTTGCTGGATCAGGAAGGTTTTACGTTTCTGAGCATTCCCAGAAGAATACGCTTGGAAACCACAGCATTTATAAAGACTTGTTCTAAAATAATGATCCCTTAAAATTCACCACAGGTGAAAGGCCAGAGACAAAGCAGTGTGGTTTGCTACTTTTCAAGTGAAAAATGAAAAGAAAACAGCTCGATATACAGGAACAATCCTATTCACCCCCAGACCCCAAGCCCAAAATACAAGCCCCAGCAGGGCACTGATCTGGCCGTGCGCCCAGTGCAGACAGGAGGGGGAAAGACTGCTAATGGTGAGGAGCTGGTTTGATGAAGATGGCAGAAGCTTTGCAGTTCCTGCTGCACAGGCTGCCCCACGTTATGGCCCCCTTGACATTCAGCTGTGCAGAATAACACACCGAGTACCACCACCCACCTCCGGGAGGCACAGTTGCTGCTGGAAGTGTCCTGATCCTGATCTTTGGCTGAGAACTTCATGTTATCGTGCACGGTAGAAGCCCTGTTTGAGGTCATGGCATCCCCTGCCAGCCCCGAGTACGTTCCCAGCCGCAGCCGGTAGCCCTGGGACTCATTTTCCACACCGAACAGGTTGTAATCGGCGAACTTGATTCTGTTTGAGGCATCCCAGATGACAAACCTGGCCTGGTAGACCTTCTGCTTGGAGATCTGATGGATGTACTCGGTGCCCAGCCAGTACTCGATGCGCACGTTCCCAAAGCCGTTCTTGTAGGTGCTCCAGGACTCGGCCCAGGTGATCTCCGTGCTCTGCCTGTTCCTCTGGATGACCATCCAGCCCCCGTCCGTCACGTTCATCTCACAGTACAACATGATGGGGATGCAGCCCTGCGGGCTGGATGACGTAGACGCCGCTGGGACTGCCACGGGGGACCTCGCTGCAGTCCTTTGCAGGCCTTGGGCCAGCCTGGGGCAGGGGAGAGGGTGATTTAATAAGACCCTGTGCAACACAACTGTGTTTCACCCCATGACAGGATAGAGGGACATCTGGCCAGAGTACCTGGGGAATAATCTGTTGTCTCAGCCTAGACAGGTCAACGTACTTGGCTGGATGTGAGAGTGGATTGGCCTCAGCCCTCTGTTCCTCTTCGTTATGGGACACCTAACAGGAGGCAGGCCCAGTGAAAGGCCCCACATCCACTGGGCTATGCTGGTATCAGGCCAGAAGACTGATATGGACACTAGTGGGCTCCTTTGGGTCTCCTGAAAAAGGGGTTGTGTCACTAAAACATGGTCATGCTGAGGAAGAAGGTGAAGAGAACCTTGCCCCTGCCTGTGACTGATGGAACAGGAGAAAAATGGCCCCTTCACGCACTCAGTTACCCTAACCAGTCTGCAGAGTACACACACACACACAGAGCACTGCAGCCTGCATTGGGTGCACCTCCTCACAGCCACCACCCTCCATCTATCCCGGAGCAGGGCCAGGGCTAGGGACGGAGCAGGGCCCTTCCCACCCAGAGCTGGCTGTTCATGAGCACAAGCACGGGATCCCCGTGGCGCTGGCTGTGTGCTCTCCCCATGCCTGCAGCTCTCTTGCTGCAGGGCCTCACACCACAGCTAAGGTCGTCCTGCAGCATGGGCAGAGCTCCTCTCCCCAGCTGAGCATGGCCTGGGGTTGATGCCATGTCTCCTCAGCCCACCTGCCCACACACACTGCGGAGGTGTTTTTGGATCTATGGCATCATAGCACATCCTCTCCCTAGAGCTTTTTTACCAAGCCTCCACTGGCCCAGAGCAGGGGCTGGGGCTGTTCACCAGCCAGGGCTGACCCAGACCACAGAACTGTGAGCGCTGGTGAGAGCACTCATTTTCCCAAGGTGTAGACGACCTTGTCTTTTCCCCTTTACCAGCTCCTGAAAAGTCATGGACGAGATAGTTCTGGGTGGAGCAAAGCACCCAGCAACGCACTGAGCCAGGTTTCATTCCCGGCCCCTGAGGCAGGGCACGAGCTGCTGGCGTTCGTTGGGGTGGCAAGTGAGCGTGCCCTCGGAGGGCACCGATGCCACCACTCCGCATCGGCATGCAAGGACCAGCGCACGGAGCCTCTTGCTCCGTCTGGGCTGCCCGACCTCGCTCCGCGCCTGGGCAGCACCCACTCCCAGCCCAGTACTCACCTGTGGTAGGGATGCCCTCCGGAGCGCAGAGCTGTGGAGCAGCAGCTCTCAGGGGTATTTGTAGGGCCCTCTGCGGTGGGCAGGGTGAGCGGGTCTGGCTTCCTTTGCAGGATGAACGCAGGCTGGGTTTCCTTGCGCCCTTGGAAAGCACCAGCAGAGATGAAGGCGCCTGTGGTTCAAGGTGCATAGCTTCCTGAGCTGCAAAGAAAATAACCTCGGTGCCAGCAAGAGGCCTTGGAATGGTCTCTTCTGTGAGTGCTTGGCTCCTTGGATGGAATTTCCCCTGGGAACAGCACATTTGGGAA